GAGGTCATGGTTAGATTCTATGGTCAGGGCACATGCCCTGGTTGTTGGCTTCATCCCCAATGTGGGAAGTGCAGAAGACAGCCAATCAATGAATCCCTCTCATCATTGATGTTTCTATCTCTTTCTCCCTCTCCCTTCCTCTCTGAAATAAACATATATTTTTTAAAAAATTATGAGAGAGAATCATTGATTGGTTGCCTCATGCATACCCCACCATGGGTATCGAGCCTGCAACCCTGGCATGTGCCCTGACCACGGAATTGAACCGTGACCTCCTGGTTCATAGGTCGATGCTCAACCACAGAGCCATGCCAGCTGAGCATAATTATAATTTTTTAATGCATATTCGTTCAGAGGTTATTACGGAGGTAGCTGGCTTTATTTTTCTTATCATGCCACTTCCTTAAATAAAAGTGAGCTGGGCATATTGTAAATTCTATGTAAATGTTAAGGCAGGTACAAATTTGGGGTAAAATTTAATAGAGGAAGTTTTCTGTAGGATATGTGAGAAGAGAGTAGGCAGGAGGCCTTAATTGTTAAATTAAGGAGAGTTTTATTCTGCCATTATGGCCATTGTTGAAAAGTTGTACAGTGTCCAACAGGCACACACATTTCATTAGTAATTGTTATTTAATTGTAAAAAACTATTATTTCTCTCAATTTATGTGTATTATATATTTTCAAAGGAGGTTGTTAGGACTTACTAATTTGTTTGGAGCTAACTACTTAATAAATGAACTATTAGATATTTATTTTGTCCTAGGAGTACCATAAAAAATTCCTGAGACATTAAGGACACTGAACATCTGGGACTTATTTCATCTTGTAGAATCTGACGCTATCTTTTCTGAAGTTTCCCTTTTGTAAGATATTTGGGGTTAAGTTTCTCTTGTCTACTTGGTTCTCACTGACTTTTCTTTTCCGTTTGAGCACATATCACTTGCAGAACTGAAGAAAGACAGTGTGGCAAATGTGCAATTAGTGAGGTTGAGGATTGCATGAAATGGATGGCAGAGAGTTTTGGGGAAATGCCTAAACTTCTTCCTTGGGCAAAAGATCTTATCATCTGATCCATACCTGATTTTCATCTACAATCAGGTTACCCTGTGTTATGCCATGTAGAGTGACTTGTGGAAACTCAAACTTGTCATGTTTCACATCTCTGTACATTAAACCAGTGCTACTTTGCTACATGGAATGTGATCTTCTATATCTCTTACCTTCTCCAACATGCTAAAATTTTTCATCATCTTTTCAATGTGTGCTTGAAATCTCAGAACACAGAACCCTGATCACTCTAGTTGATTAAAGAACTCCTTTTCAGTTCTCTAATGGCTTCTTAGGCCATTTCTGCTTGACCACACATTACATTATACTGTTTGATTTAATTCTCTTTAAACCCTTACCAGATGGTAACGTAAGGGGACCATATTTTATGCATATTTTGATATATTGCAGCAAGTACAATGCTTGGTGATGAGTAGATGCTCTAGATGTCTTTGAAAAAAGATGGAATAACTGGATGAGTGAGAAAACATGCTTCTGCCCCTGTCCTGTTGTCTCCTAAATATTCCAGCCCATAGTAATTTCTTCTTTCTTCAGATGTACTCATTTTTACAGCCACATGCTTCACTGCATTATTATTTTAATATTTAATATCAATGTGTATCTCACCATTATATATTCCTTAATGTCATATAATATCTATCTATCTATCTATCTATCTACCTACCTACCTACTTACCTACCTACCTACCTATCATCTGTTATTGGAGTTTTACAGCCCTAACACACTATTTCTATCTACCTACCTACCTACCTACCTACCTATCAATCATCTGTCATCGGAGTTTCACAGCCCTAACACACTATATTTTTTTTTTCCCTTCTGTCTCTGTGAGCAATGATTTGCTCAGTTTCTTGGTGTTTACATTTCAAAGGCATGATAAAATTTATAACATCCAGAGACAGAAATACTCTAAGTTAATTGGCATTAGTTACTTGACTATGCTTCCTGTGTGTTTAACATACCAAATAAACCTAATTAGCTTATTTTTCCCTTTTTATGAGGAGAGATAAATTTTCTTTAAAATGTTTCAGGAGCCTTTGGAACATCCCAAAGTCATTATTTAGAACATTTGATCTTGGGAAGTTGTCAAAAACATCAAAAGTTTTAAAACATTTGGTCAATAAAATCACATGTCATTGTGGAACAACACATAATGAAATAATACTTAATTATTCATTATTCAAAGTGACAATAAAACATTTCAAAGACAAATACAGAAGGCTGCATAGTTGTGAGCAAAATTTAGCTCTTTTAATATTAAGAATACTTGGTTTAGTTAAACAATAAAAGACCTGATTATAAAAAATATAGAACATTATTTATATAAAACATAAAGTCTTTGTTTTCTTTATAATCTTTTTAAAGAACATATCCATAGTACAGGAATGTTTTTTTGTGTGTGTGTGGGTGGTGTGTTTAGCAGAGAAATAAAGTTTTAGCTTTACATAAACACACCATTGTAATTAAAAAGCCTAATTTTCAAAACTAACCCTTATTAAAGGAAATTCAATTTTAGCCAGCTTAATTTTGAGGAAAATTTTTGAAATAACTAGGACAGTTTCTATTTCTTATTTATATAAGAGCTTAAGTTATTTAAGCCTATTAAGTAGAGCTCTTTATAAACCAACTAGAGGCCTGGTGCACGAAATTCGTGATGGAGGGGGGTTCCTCAGCCCGGCCTGCACCCTCTCCAATCTGGGACCCCTCAGGGGATATCCGACTACCGGTTTAGGCCCAATTCCTGTGGTTTAGGCCCACAGAACTGAGGTGCAGGGTATTGGCATCACGTGATGAAGCATTCAGCTGAAATACACATTTCATCTGTCCTGGGCACTGGGCACTCGGAGCACAACACAATTCTAGCCTTCAGCAGTGAAGGGCTCTCACCCACAGAAGCTACAGCAGGTGGATTGAGTCAGGCAGTGACTGTGTACAGATCTTACTGCCCCCACTTGAATCCAGCACAGCTATCCCTGGAGAATTACTCAGACAGTATTTGAAATTGTATTTTAATGGAGAAACTAACTGTCAAGTCTGTTTCCAGATCATTGCTTTGATTTCTTGATAACAAAGCAATTGACTTCAAGCTCTCTTCCTCCGCAGTAAATGTCTTCCCAGCTCTCCCCACTCCTTCCTTTGACTGGACATCACACTTGCACCCTTAAGCCAGCTCTCCAAGTTAACTAAACTTGTATAAACCTTTTCCATGGCTGGAGAATTTCCTCTTGCCACATAGCTTATAGCCCACTGGGCCTTCTCCTTTACACCAAAACAAATATGTGATCATGTCTTGCATCGTCTATTGTGTTAATTTTTATTCTCCAAGTAACACATGTAGCTCAAACAATCTGTATATATAGAGAGCCAGGGTCCGCAATGTCCAAAATGACTGAAGGGACAACTGAATACCAGGCTGCGCATGCAGAAGGCTCGGGTGGACTGGGAATGGTGACAGGCTGAACTGCTGACCTCTTGGAGAGAGAGAGAGAGGCGGGGCTGATCAGAAGCCACCCCAAGCTGCTGGCAAGGCCCAGAGAGAGAAGCAGGATCTGATCCGCAGTCTCTGTGGCAGCTGCTGATCAGCCCTTGCCTCTCTCTCTCTATGCCAGTGTCAAAGGCTCCGCCTCCTAGGCAGCCATTGGCTCCATGCAGTTCACCCAGATTTGGTTCTGATTGGTCAGTTTCTATGCCAGTCAGTGTCTCTGGGCCTACTCTGAGCCTGATCAGAGAGGCAGGGCTGATCAGCAGCCACCCCAGGCTGCTGGTGAGGCCTGGAGAGAGAGAGAGAGGTACGGTTGCTGGCGAGGCCCAGAGAGAGAAGCAGGGTCTGATCATCCTGCTTCTCTCTCCAGGCCTAGCCAGCAGCCACTGCCACTGCTGATCGGCCCCACCTCTCTCTCCAAGAGGTCAGCAGTTCAGCCCGCTCGCCTGCTGTGAGCGCAGCCTGGCGCTTGGTTAAGCCTTCGGTCATTTTGGTTGTTACGACCCTGGCTCTTTATATATATAGGTTTATTCATTCTCTGGAAGTAAACAACATATATATGTATAGACAGACAACTAGAGCCCTGGTAGTTTTAATTAAGTATTTTTTAGCCATGAGACAAATAAAATAAGGCAAAATCCATTAACTTACTATAGTTGTAACAAGTTAAATATATTCATTCAGGTGGCAAGATTTGCATTCGTCCTTGAGAAACATTTTTTTAAGGAGACTGAGGGGAGGGCTTTCCAGACACTTGTGCTTCTTTCCCTTTGGTTCATTTAGTCTTGGGCAGTGGTGGCCTGTGTTTACATTTCTGGTTATCTAATATCAGAAAGACCTTGAAAACTACTAAGGCTTAAAACATTTTACTTGACTTCTAAGCTTGCCAAATTTCTGATCATAGAGTTAATAAATTCTTTGAAATATCTTGTCAGGTTTCAGGTAGGACAAATAATAAGAAAAGCATCTGCTCAATGACCAAAGTTTATTTTAGGATTCTCTTAGATTATTTTGTCTTTTAGAAACTTCTGATTAGTAACCAAAGAACATATTCCATGGTGTTGGAGAGATTTGAATTTCTCTCCTTATTAAATCTTTTTTTTTCTTTCTAATGACAAACAACATAACGGACATAGACAAGAGAAGGCAACAAAAGAGTGCAATTAATGAGTACTCATGGGACACTCACGCCCTTCCGCCCTCGAGGCACTTCTTACAAATAGGAACCATGAAAAGTTTCTCCCTAGGGGAAAAAAAATTTATTTTCCTGCCGGCCCGTGTGGCTCAGTGGTTGAGCATTGACCTGTGAACCACGAGGTCATGGTTAGATTCTATGGTCAGGGCACATGCCCTGGTTGTTGGCTTCATCCCCAATGTGGGAAGTGCAGAAGACAGCCAATCAATGAATCCCTCTCATCATTGATGTTTCTATCTCTTTCTCCCTCTCCCTTCCTCTCTGAAATAAACATATATTTTTAAAAAAATTATGAGAGAGAATCATTGATTGGCTGCCTCATGCATAACCCACACTGGGTATTGAGCCTACAACCCTGGCATGTGTCCTGACCACGGAATTGAACCGTGACCTCCTGGTTCATAGGTCGATGCTCAACCACAGAGCCATGCCAGCTGAGCATAATTATAATTTTTTAATGCATATTCGTTCAGAGGTTATTACGGAGGTAGCTGGCTTTATTTTTCTTATCATGCCACTTCCTTAAATAAAAGTGAGCTGGGCATATTGTAAATTCTATGTAAATGTTAAGGCAGGTACAAATTTGGGGTAAAATTTAATAGAGGAAGTTTTCTGTAGGATATGTGAGAAGAGAGTAGGCAGGAGGCCTTAATTGTTAAATTAAGGAGAGTTTTATTCTGCCATTATGGCCATTGTTGAAAAGTTGTACAGTGTCCAACAGGCACACACATTTCATTAGTAATTGTTATTTAATTGTAAAAAACTATTATTTCTCTCAATTTATGTGTATTATATATTTTCAAAGGAGGTTGTTAGGACTTACTAATTTGTTTGGAGCTAACTACTTAATAAATGAACTATTAGATATTTATTTTGTCCTAGGAGTACCATAAAAAATTCCTGAGACATTAAGGACACTGAACATCTGGGACTTATTTCATCTTGTAGGATCTGACGCTATCTTTTCTGAAGTTTCCTTTTGTAAGATATTTGGGGTTAAGTTTCTCTTGTCTACTTGGTTCTCACTGACTTTTCTTTTCCGTTTGAGCACATATCACTTGCAGAACTGAAGAAAGACAGTGTGGCAAATGTGCAATTAGTGAGGTTGAGGATTGCATGAAATGGATGGCAGAGAGTTTTGGGGAAATGCCTAAACTTCTTCCTTGGGCAAAAGATCTTATCATCTGATCCATACCTGATTTTCATCTACAATCAGGTTACCCTGTGTTATGCCATGTAGAGTGACTTGTGGAAACTCAAACTTGTCATGTTTCACATCTCTGTACATTAAACCAGTGCTACTTTGCTACATGGAATGTGATCTTCTATATCTCTTACCTTCTCCAACATGCTAAAATTTTTCATCATCTTTTCAATGTGTGCTTGAAACCTCAGAACACAGAACCCTGATCACTCTAGTTGATTAAAGAACTCCTTTTCAGTTCTCTAATGGCTTCTTAGGCCATTTCTGCTTGACCACACATTACATTATACTGTTTGATTTAATTCTCTTTAAACCCTTACCAGATGGTAACGTAAGGGGACCATATTTTATGCATATTTTGATATATTGCAGCAAGTACAATGCTTGGTGATGAGTAGATGCTCTAGATGTCTTTGAAAAAAGATGGAATAACTGGATGAGTGAGAAAACATGCTTCTGCCCCTGTCCTGTTGTCTCCTAAATATTCCAGCCCATAGTAATTTCTTCTTTCTTCAAATGTACTCATTTTTACAGCCACATGCTTCACTGCATTATTATTTTAATATTTAATATCAATGTGTATCTCACCATTATATATTCCTTGTCATAATATAATATCTATCTACCTACCTACCTACCTACCTACCTATCAATCATCTGTCATCGGAGTTTTACAGCCCTAACACACTATATGCATATTTGAGAAATGTCTCAATATTTGTTTACTGTGACAAAATGCTCAAGTGCATTTTCTTTTGCCATTGTTGTAGTGTTTTTCTTAGTTACCTTTGCAGATGTTTCTCCTCTCTCAACATTTATTAAATATTAGTGGTCTGCAAGACTGGATTTTCAGTCATTTTCTTTTCGTGAATGATGCTGTATCTTTATGTTCAACACTGACTTTACTTATCGTAGTACTCAAATTATTCACATACTCAGGTCTAGCCCAGACCTTGTATTTGAGTTCTTGTACTGTATATTTTCTTACATGACATTTCTGTGGTAAGGCTCAAAAGCAAGTCAAACTCTCATTGACCACAAATGATATTTCCCTGAAATGTGTGACCTATTTCCAGGGTTTATTGCCTAGGGAATGGCCTACTTATTCATCCTGTTGCATTAGGTAGAATCCTAGGGAGTTATTCTTGCCAACGTTCACTATCCCCTCTTCTCTGTTCATACCTGATTCCTTATCAGATCTTGTCAAACTCACCTGCTAAATATTTACTATCAGTATGTGCTTCAAACAACCATCAAGCTCTATTAGATCAAACTACTGTCATGATTTTTCTAACAATGGTTTTCTCTCTACTAACTGGATCTTTGCTTTTATCCTGTCTAGTCTCTATTCTGTAGCCAGTGTAATCTTTCAATAGGCAAAACCAGTTATAATACTATCTGCTTAAAATCTATCAGTGCATTTTAGGATCAGAAACATGCCCTCAAAGACTTTGAGTGTCCTTATATTTCTGTAGTCCTCCCTAGCACTGCTAGCTCTTCCCTCACTTTCTCCACTCCATTCTGGCTGGCTTCTTTTCAGTATCTAGTTCCATCCACATTTTTTCATGCCACAGGGCTTTTGCACATGGTATTCAGGTATTTTCTTTGCCTGGAATGCTACAGTCCTTGCATCTCTTTTGGTCCCTCAGAGATCAGACTAAGCATTACTTCTTTGGGGTAGCTTCCTCCAACCTCTTTGATTTTGTCACATTTTTAATTTTCCACTCTTTATATGATTCTCTGATTAATATTTGTCTTTCCTGAGAGATTTTAAGCTTCATGAGAACTGACAGCATGTTGACTTTGGTCTGTTCTTGTATTTCCAGTGTCCTATGTTTTGTTTAGCACACAGTAGTCATTCAATACTATTTGTTAATGGAATAAATACATTTCTAACTTTTCTTCTCTTTTTTGTAGGTCTGCCATTTTCATTAATAACTGCCACTTAGAGGTACCCAAGTAAAGGATTTTTGCTATATTTAATATTTTCCAGTTCAGGTTGGAGGCGCAGGTAGCAGCAAGGATGGGTAATTTTCAATTTAAAATATTCATAATTTCTGAAATAATTTCTAAAACTGTATGTTGTACAGTTTTATTAGATTTTAAAAGTTTTATTTCTGTTTTCTTTGGAAAAAAAGACTGACTGAAAATAACCCATTTTCTTTTTCTTTTTTTTAGGTTTAGAAAAATATAGGATGTTTTTAGAGGAAATTTCAGAGTTAATTTTGAGTGAAATGCCAAAAGCTGAGTGAGTAATATTGTGGTAATAAAAGAGATATAAAATTCTATGTCCTATTTCTATATATCTATTTGACCTTAAAGTGATCTCTATTTATCTATCTCATCATCTATCTTAGTATATATTACAGTACATTAAATATGTATATAGTTGTACATAGATTATTTAACACAACTTTTAGAGCTGGTTGATGGTGAATGGGAACATTTTTTTCTTGCATTCTTTGTCTACAGCTGTCAATGAACCCATTGTTTTATAAAGGAATGAAATTGATTAAACAGGAAGAAAATATGATACAGGTCCATATTCAAAACATGGGTGTTAAATTCCCGAGTCCAATCCAGATTTTGCTGTATGGCTTTAGATAATCTTCCCTATCATTTTGTGCCTAAGTTCCCTTCTCTATAGAATGGACTGATCCTGCCTTCTTTTTATGAAAGGTAGTCATGTATATGGGTGTATTTGAAATGTTTTAGCATTGAGCCTGACATGAATGGTTACTCAGTAAATTCAGCTATTGATGATAGTGATAATGAGCTAATAGCAGGCTGCTGCCTTTTTTGGGACCTTATTGAATTTATATCTAACTTTTGTTTTAACTCTTTTTATTTTAGCTATTCCAGTATATTCAACGATTTTGTTGAATCTGAATTTTTTCTCATTGATGGAGATTCATTGCTTGTCATGTTCATATGTGAGGAATCATTAAAGCAGGGGCAGGAGCTCCATTTCTTCTATTTGGTTGAACGCTACCTTGTGGATATTATTAGTAAAGGAGGACAATTTGCCATAGTTTTCTTCAAGGTACCATGTGACAGTTGAATCCTTTTCTATGATTTGAGAACTAAATTAAAACTAAAATTTCTATTATAAAAGTATTTTCTTATTACAAATTGAAATGTATCTATAAATATTTAGAAAAGCTAAAAGGAAGAACAGAAAACATACTTGACTTCTAAGCTTGCCAAATTTCTGATCATAGAGTTAATAAATTCTTTGAAATATCTTGTCAGGTTTCAGGTAGGACAAATAATAAGAAAAGCATCTGCTCAATGACCAAAGTTTATTTTAGGATTCTCTTAGATTATTTTGTCTTTTAGAAACTTCTGATTAGTAACCAAAGAATATATTCCATGGTGTTGGAGAGATTTGGATTTCTCTCTTTATTAAATCTTTTTTTTCTTCTTTCTAATGACAAACAACATAACAGACATAGACAAGAGAAGGCAACAAAAGAGTGCAATTAATGAGTACTCATGGGACACTCACGCCCTTCCGCCCTCGAGGCACTTCTTACAAATAGGAACCATGAAAAGTTTCTCCCTAGGGGAAAAAAAATTTATTTTCCTGCCGGCCCGTGTGGCTCAGTGGTTGAGCATTGACCTGTGAACCACGAGGTCATGGTTAGATTCTATGGTCAGGGCACATGCCCTGGTTGTTGGCTTCATCCCCAATGTGGGAAGTGCAGAAGACAGCCAATCAATGAATCCCTCTCATCATTGATGTTTCTATCTCTTTCTCCCTCTCCCTTCCTCTCTGAAATAAACATATATTTTTTAAAAAATTATGAGAGAGAATCATTGATTGGTTGCCTCATGCATACCCCACCATGGGTATCGAGCCTGCAACCCTGGCATGTGCCCTGACCACGGAATTGAACCGTGACCTCCTGGTTCATAGGTCGATGCTCAACCACAGAGCCATGCCAGCTGAGCATAATTATAATTTTTTAATGCATATTCGTTCAGAGGTTATTACGGAGGTAGCTGGCTTTATTTTTCTTATCATGCCACTTCCTTAAATAAAAGTGAGCTGGGCATATTGTAAATTCTATGTAAATGTTAAGGCAGGTACAAATTTGGGGTAAAATTTAATAGAGGAAGTTTTCTGTAGGATATGTGAGAAGAGAGTAGGCAGGAGGCCTTAATTGTTAAATTAAGGAGAGTTTTATTCTGCCATTATGGCCATTGTTGAAAAGTTGTACAGTGTCCAACAGGCACACACATTTCATTAGTAATTGTTATTTAATTGTAAAAAACTATTATTTCTCTCAATTTATGTGTATTATATATTTTCAAAGGAGGTTGTTAGGACTTACTAATTTGTTTGGAGCTAACTACTTAATAAATGAACTATTAGATATTTATTTTGTCCTAGGAGTACCATAAAAAATTCCTGAGACATTAAGGACACTGAACATCTGGGACTTATTTCATCTTGTAGAATCTGACGCTATCTTTTCTGAAGTTTCCCTTTTGTAAGATATTTGGGGTTAAGTTTCTCTTGTCTACTTGGTTCTCACTGACTTTTCTTTTCCGTTTGAGCACATATCACTTGCAGAACTGAAGAAAGACAGTGTGGCAAATGTGCAATTAGTGAGGTTGAGGATTGCATGAAATGGATGGCAGAGAGTTTTGGGGAAATGCCTAAACTTCTTCCTTGGGCAAAAGATCTTATCATCTGATCCATACCTGATTTTCATCTACAATCAGGTTACCCTGTGTTATGCCATGTAGAGTGACTTGTGGAAACTCAAACTTGTCATGTTTCACATCTCTGTACATTAAACCAGTGCTACTTTGCTACATGGAATGTGATCTTCTATATCTCTTACCTTCTCCAACATGCTAAAATTTTTCATCATCTTTTCAATGTGTGCTTGAAACCTCAGAACACAGAACCCTGATCACTCTAGTTGATTAAAGAACTCCTTTTCAGTTCTCTAATGGCTTCTTAGGCCATTTCTGCTTGACCACACATTACATTATACTGTTTGATTTAATTCTCTTTAAACCCTTACCAGATGGTAACGTAAGGGGACCATATTTTATGCATATTTTGATATATTGCAGCAAGTACAATGCTTGGTGATGAGTAGATGCTCTAGATGTCTTTGAAAAAAGATGGAATAACTGGATGAGTGAGAAAACATGCTTCTGCCCCTGTCCTGTTGTCTCCTAAATATTCCAGCCCATAGTAATTTCTTCTTTCTTCAAATGTACTCATTTTTACAGCCACATGCTTCACTGCATTATTATTTTAATATTTAATATCAATGTGTATCTCACCATTATATATTCCTTAATGTCATATAATATCTATCTACCTACCTACCTACCTACCTACCTATCAATCATCTGTCATCGGAGTTTCACAGCCCTAACACACTATATGCATATTTGAGAAATGTCTCAATATTTGTTTACTGTGACAAAATGCTCAAGTGCATTTTCTTTTGCCATTGTTGTAGTGTTTTTCTTAGTTACCTTTGCAGATGTTTCTCCTCTCTCAACATTTATTAAATATTAGTGGTCTGCAAGACTGGATTTTCAGTCATTTTCTTTTCGTGAATGATGCTGTATCTTTATGTTCAACACTGACTTTACTTATCGTAGTACTCAAATTACTCCCATACTCAGGTCTAGCCCAGACCTTGTATTTGAGTTCTTGTACTGTATATTTTCTTACATGACATTTCTGTGGTAAGGCTCAAAAGCAAGTCAAACTCTCATTGACCACAAATGATATTTCCCTGAAATGTGACCTATTTCCAGGGTTTATTGCCTAGGGAATGGCCTACTTATTCATCCTGTTGCATTAGGTAGAATCCTAGGGAGTTATTCTTGCCAACGTTCACTATCCCCTCTTCTCTGTTCATACCTGATTCCTTATCAGATCTTGTCAAACTCACCTGCTAAATATTTACTATCAGTATGTGCTTCAAACAACCATCAAGCTCTATTAGATCAAACTACTGTCATGATTTTTCTAACAATGGTTTTCTCTCTACTAACTGGATCTTTGCTTTTATCCTGTCTAGTCTCTATTCTGTAGCCAGTGTAATCTTTCAATAGGCAAAACCAGTTATAATACTATCTGCTTAAAATCTATCAGTGCATTTTAGGATCAGAAACATGCCCTCAAAGACTTTGAGTGTCCTTATATTTCTGTAGTCCTCCCTAGCACTGCTAGCTCTTCCCTCACTTTCTCCACTCCATTCTGGCTGGCTCCTTTTCAGTATCTAGTTCCATCCACACTTTTTCATGCCACAGGGCTTTTGCACATGGTATTCAGGTATTTTCTTTGCCTGGAATGCTACAGTCCTTGCATCTCTTTTGGTCCCTCAGAGATCAGACTAAGCATTACTTCTTTGGGGTAGCTTCCTCCAACCTCTTTGATTTTGTCACATTTTTAATTTTCCACTCTTTATATGATTCTCTGATTAATATTTGTCTTTCCTGAGAGATTTTAAGCTTCATGAGAACTGACAGCATGTTGACTTTGGTCTGTTCTTGTATTTCCAGTGTCCTATGTTTTGTTTAGCACACAGTAGTCATTCAATACTATTTGTTAATGGAATAAATACATTTCTAACTTTTCTTCTCTTTTTTGTAGGTCTGCCATTTTCATTAATAACTGCCACTTAGAGGTACCCAAGTAAAGGATTTTTGCTATATTTAATATTTTCCAGTTCAGGTTGGAGGCGCAGGTAGCAGCAAGGATGGGTAATTTTCAATTTAAAATATTCATAATTTCTGAAATAATTTCTAAAACTGTATGTTGTACAGTTTTATTAGATTTTAAAAGTTTTATCTCTGTTTTCTTTGGAAAAAAAGACTGACTGAAAATAACCCATTTTCTTTTTCTTTTTTTTAGGTTTAGAAAAATATAGGATGTTTTTAGAGGAAATTTCAGAGTTAATTTTGAGTGAAATGCCAAAAGCTGAGTGAGTAATATTGTGGTAATAAAAGAGATATAAAATTCTATGTCCTATTTCTATATATCTATTTGACCTTAAAGTGATCTCTATTTATCTATCTCATCATCTATCTTAGTATATATTACAGTACATTAAATATGTATATAGTTGTACATAGATTATTTAACACAACTTTTAGAGCTGGTTGATGGTGAATGGGAACATTTTTTTCTTGCATTCTTTGTCTACAGCTGTCAATGAACCCATTGTTTTATAAAGGAATGAAATTGATTAAACAGGAAGAAAATATGATACAGGTCCATATTCAAAACATGGGTGTTAAATTCCCGAGTCCAATCCAGATTTTGCTGTATGGCTTTAGATAATCTTCCCTATCATTTTGTGCCTAAGTTCCCTTCTCTATAGAATGGACTGATCCTGCCTTCTTTTTATGAAAGGTAGTCATGTATATGGGTGTATTTGAAATGTTTTAGCATTGAGCCTGACATGAATGGTTACTCAGTAAATTCAGCTATTGATGATAGTGATAATGAGCTAATAGCAGGCTGCTGCCTTTTTTGGGACCTTATTGAATTTATATCTAACTTTTGTTTTAACTCTTTTTATTTTAGCTATTCCAGTATATTCAACGATTTTGTTGAATCTGAATTTTTTCTCATTGATGGAGATTCATTGCTTGTCATGTTCATATGTGAGGAATCATTAAAGCAGGGGCAGGAGCTCCATTTCTTCTATTTGGTTGAACGCTACCTTGTGGATATTATTAGTAAAGGAGGACAATTTGCCATAGTTTTCTTCAAGGTACCATGTGACAGTTGAATCCTTTTCTATGATTTGAGAACTAAATTAAAACTAAAATTTCTATTATAAAAGTATTTTCTTATTACAAATTGAAATGTATCTATAAATATTTAGAAAAGCTAAAAGGAAGAACAGAAAACAATTACCCATAATCACAGTATTCAGAAGTTACAAAAAAATTGTTTATTATTCACAATAATGGAACTTTGTTGTAAGAACATGCAGGATCATGAAAGAGGATGAGAAAGGTCCTCAACGGTGGTCTAATAATGGATCTCTGGATTCTAGACTTGTAACTTCTGTCTTCAAAACTCAGCAGTCAATGTATTTGATCCCAAAAGAATGTCAAAACTCACTAACACTGCTTTTTTTATTATTTGCTCTATAGTACCTACCTCCAAGGGAATATATTTGGTCTGCTTTTTTATAATGAATACAATTAATCATAAAATTTTAACAATTCAAATACAGATATGTATAACCACTACCACCCCTTCCTCATCTTATCCCTGAAGGAGTTTGGTGTATGTCTGTTCAATATCATTTTGCAGTCCACACTATTGTTAGATTTTTTTTTTAATATTGATGACTGCTTGCATGCAGTGTTTTGAATAAAGATCCAGGTTTCTAGCCTAACGCTTACAGTCAGTTTATTGCACTAATTTTGGTCTATTGAGAAAAACCTATGCAGTTTCAGGAGGGTCTCAATGACCTGGGGACAGTCTTCTCAAATCAAATGATCCACCACAGCTTCCTTTTCCTGGATAATTTATATCCACCATTTGCTTTGAAATATTTTTATGTCCTTTTTTTTTCTTTTTTCATTTTGAAATGAGATTGGAGAGGAAAAGAATTAGAATGGGAAGGGAAAGTGTGATAAATCCCGAGTATTGTGTGCCTGCTTAAAAGGGATACACATATTTACATCCAAATTGTGGTTTATGGCGTGTATTTGTGAGATGGCAATCAAGGTTTAAAGGTCTCTTAAACAGAGCAGAAGTGTGTTGGAACCTATTCCTTTAATAACTTTAGTGATATGTGTTAACTAAACTGGTAAACTACTAAATGATAATTTTAAAATAATGTACTTTACCCCTCCCACACAGGATGCTGAGTATGCATATTTCAACTTCCCTGAACTTCTTTCTTTGAGAACTGCTTTAATTCTTCATCTTCAGCATAATAACACCATTGATGTTCGAACACAATTTTCTGGATGCTTATCACAAGAATGGAAAAGTTTTTTGGAAGAGAGTTACCCATATTTCCTGATAGTTGCAGATGAAGGCTTGAACGATCTACAAACACATCTTTTCAACTTTTTAATCATTCAGTCTTGGTCAATGAAGGTCAATGCTGTGCTTTCCTCAGGACAAGCATCTGACGTTCTTCGACTTTATGCGTACTTTATGCTAAGCAGGCCCAGACAACAAACGTTTTTCAAGCAGGTAATTTGTATCAAAATTTCTATTATAGTTTTAAATAATTTTCTAAATTATTTGACTCAGTTCCTTTTTTACCTCTTCTATGGAAATTATCATAGATTTAACAGAGAGGTATTGAGCATTAATAATAATAATGACAAAAGTACAGTCACTTATTGAGCATTTCCTGTCATAACAATAGTGCTTGGTTCATCCCATGAGTCATTTTATTTAACCCTCACAACAACCCTGCAAGGTAGGTGTTAGTATCATCTATTTTGTAGATAAGGAAGTAGATACCTGAATAAGCAATCTGCTCATCATCAATACCAAATTAATAACGGAGTATGGATTTGAAAAGAGGCAGTCTGACTCCAGCCTTTATTTGTTTAATTACTGTGTGGTATGAAGGTCAGAAATGCATTAAACAGGAGGTAAAATATATGCCTCTGTTGCTGAGACATACTGATAAAATGATATTAAAAACAGCAGCTTTTAATGAGACAACCATGGAGAAGGTTGATGAAGAAGGAAAATAATTGAACTAAGTTTATTTCTTAACATTAAATCATTAACAAGATTAATAAGCACTTAGGATTTTGATTCCATGATCTTATTATTTTGTTGTATTGGTGTATTTGACAATTACTATATTGAACTCTTGGGTCAAAAACACATACTGATTTTATAAAGAAATCTAATTTCTGTTTAATTTTCACTATGTAGAGTGAATTTTTAAAATGAAGATAATTCTGTATGATTTTTGAGTCAGCTAACATTTTTTACTCTTTGAGGATAGTGTCACACACTCCCTCATGGTTTTGGAGACCTCCAGCTGGTTATCATAAAATCTGATAAGATTGTTTATTTTGCTTTAGTTAGAACTCCAGTCATCAAACTCTAGTTGTTTACTGTTAGCTGAACAGTCCTGGGATTCATTTTTATATTGGGAGGAGGACCTAGAATCAATTTATCTCATTTTATTCTGTTAGAGCAATTTGAATCTGAGTTTGAAGAGTGCCCTATGAATATTCTTCCCAATCTCTCTTTAAGAGGAATTTTAAAAATATCTTTTTATTAATTTTAGAAAGAGTGGAAGGGTGAGGTAGAGAGAGAGAAACACCAATGTGAGAGAGAAACATCAATTGGCTACCCCCTGCACACACCCTACTGGGGATCGAGCCCACAATCCCAGGCATGTGCCCTGACCAGGAATCGAACCAGTGACTTTTTGATGCATGAGGCTATGCTCAACCAACTGAGCCACACAGACCAGGGCTTAATGGAGGATTTTATTTTTGATAAAATAATTTATTTTCTAATCACCTTAAAGAGATTATTTATCAATTTGAAGACTGTGTGATATGCAAATAAAAGTGCAATGTATGTTGCTAAGGGCCTTTGCTGAATGATAGGTACTTGGGAGGAGGTTATGCTATTCTCTACTTATGTGTATGTTTGAAATTTTTCATAATAAAATAGAATGGACACAGTGTTTCTTTTTGAGATTTTGGAAATGTTGTAAAATTATGGTTATGGTTGCACAACTCTGTACATTTACCTATGGCGGTTCTCCAGCTGCATCCAGCACAGCTAGAGAGTGAACTAGTCCTGAGTAGGAGCGACTGGGGATTGAGAAAGAGAAACAGACACAGAGACAGTAGGTAAAGCTGGGACCAGGTGGGACACTGTTCTCGGATGGAGAGACAGTGACCCAGAGCTAGTGCAGCGCATTTATTATATACAGCATGATATCAGGAAGTTTTACTAGAGTTTAAGACAAAGGAAATTATGTGAAATCATGCTTACCGAAGATCAAGCTGTAATTCTTCATTCTTGTGGCTTCTCGTAATTGTCAGGCCTCACTGAGCCCGGATAATTGCATCTGCCCCTGGTGCCTGGCTGAACTTAGATAATGGCACCCACCCTCTGGCACCTGAGCTATAGGTCAGGGCTGACAACATTCCTGCCTTTTGGCAAGGTATGTGTCCAGAACATGGCTTTGCCGAGCCGAGCCGCTGGACTCAGCTGATGATCTTTGCTCAGGTGCTCTCCCAGACACTCTCTACATTTACCTAAAACCATAGATTGTACCCTTAAAGTGAGTGTGAACTTTATGTTATGATAACTACACTTTCATAAAATTGTTTAAAAAATTAAATGCTCTAAATTCCCAGACAAAAATTCATTTGAAAAAGACAAAATAATGCTGGCTGGAAGGGTTTAAAAGCAGTGTTGATGATCAATAATTAGTGTAAAACTTTTTTTTTTTTGCTTAGAAATATAATAATTATGTCTTCAATATCTGATTTTTCTGTATTAGAAAGTAATTAGATATTTTTAACAATTTATGTGATTTGTCTTCCTTTTACAGAATGAAAAGAAGATTGAGAATGCTTATAAAGCCCTGATTAAACAATTAGAAGGATGTAGGGTTTTGGCATTTGAACCTATTTTTGGAAATTTAAGATGGAACAATATGATTGAAGAGGTATT